AAACTAGTACTACATATTACAATGTTTCGGGCGCCGTCGAAGTCGATCAGCCTCAGTCCGTTATCGGACGTTTCTACGTGGAGGCTGAATTTTCCGACAGTGGCGCCAAAGATCCCTTCCTTGCCCACCTTGGCATTAAAATCGCCAAGCCCGATTTTGACATCATGTCGGGGGCAGCGCTCATATGTACGTTCCAAGCGCTCATAGAAGAGATCCTTGGACGCCTCATCCTTCTCTTCCGTCGGGGCATGGGCGCAGATGAGCGAGATGTTGAAGAATCTAGCTTTTATGCGGATTGTGGCTAGACGTTCGTCCACCGGGGTGAACGCCAGTACTCGGCGACGGAGTCTCTCTCCTACCACGAATCTTCGCTCCTTTACGTGGCAACTGTAGTAGACGTCGCAAGGCTTCACGCTTACTTTACCTTGCCCCGTCCATCGCATTTCTTGGATGGCGGTGATGTCAGCCTTTGTCTTCCCGAGGACATCAACCAGCCGGGCAGAGGCACCTTCCCCATTAAGGGTCCGGATATTCCAGGTGCATACCCTTAAATCATAGTCCTTTATACGTTTGCCGTGGTCGTCATCAGAAAAAGGGGGTCTCATCCGAGGCTGTTTGTTTCTTTTCATTGGGCGGGGTTTTAACGTGGCGGGACCCAAACCCAGCGCACGCGAAGTTTTACGCCTTCTCACTTTAGCTCGCTCCCAAACGGGTGTTTGGTTGCTACCCAGAGGATACGTGGATATAAATATCCGGACGTTGTGAGCTGCGATTTGAACCGTACGCACAAGAATCGCTTCTGACCACTCCCAGGTGAATGGCAGTTAGAAGTTTTCCACTTCTGCGCACGGAACCATCCAGTTTCCAGAAATAATGCATACGAAAAATACCGAAATAATGCATATATGCACAGTTTCGGTAGAAAACCGAAATAATGCATATTAGAAAAACCGAAATTATGCATATGCACTCTTTCGTTTGGAAACCGAAATAATACATCCGAAATAGTGCATACATGAAAACGAACTGCTTTCTGCGTAGGCGGCCTTCGGCCGCGCTTTTGGATTATATCCCTTACTAAGTAGAATTCTCCTTTCTGTGTTGCCGGAAAAGGGGGCTGGAAGTATTTTTGCGCAGAACTTCTTTCTGCGTAGGCGGTTGAAACCGAAATAATGTCTAAATGCACAGTTTTCATTTGCTCAATTTCGATTTCCCATTATTTCGTATGCACAGTTTCCTTATGCACAATCTCAGGGTGCCAGTTTTGGGGTCTTCAAACTAAAAAAAAAGCACCAAGCACCAACTCCAAAAATTTTCGCGTTTTGAATTAAGAAAAGCACTAAGTTGGCAATAGTGGGTGGAAACCTTCGACAAAAATATGGTGCACACCTCGGAACCCTCCTTGTTCCCTTTCCTTTGGCCCCCATATTTGTATTACTCAATTAACTTAATTCAAATTGAATATAACTTTTTTAAATAGGTGGCACCCCTCCTACAGCAAAGTTACTAAACATAGCTTTTTAAAACCATTTTAATTGATATTCTTTTTATAATAATTGATTTAACTTTTCAGATAATTTGAACTTACTTTTTTTTTTAATATGGCAACTCTTTTCGAGAAGGTAAAACCCTATTGCGCATCTACAGTCGGAGCTGATATAATGACATTGATTATTAAATAATGTGAGTTTAATTGTTTACCAGGTGGCAACTCTTTTCGAAAAAGTAAAACCTTATTGCACATCTTCAGCTCAAGGCCTTTAATTTGGCACCACCATTTGACCATTTGACAGTTTTGAAAATGGAACGAACGGTGCAGATCTTATAACCTGGACAAAAAATCCCTTCGCGTATTATATATGTATGTATGTAGATAGATAGATAGCTACGAGCTTGAAAACAAACCTTTATAGTACAGTCGAATTAAAAACTCTAAATTTTATACCAACAACACGCATGTTAATGTATGTATATCCTTGAAATCCGGTTTATAAAATCAGACACAATGATTTTATACTTTTTCATTCAAAGGGTAGACATTTGTTTTCACATCATTTAAGGTATGTTTATTCGTATTTTTTTATTCCTTTTTTGTAGTAAAATATTTCAAATAAGTAAACAGTTCAATGGTCAAGGACGTTGAGCAAAAATTCCGCCACCATTCAGCGAGAAAAACATAACTGGTTTTAATTCATCTATGCTTCTATTGTTTGCTATTACGGCGACTGATGCTGGTCCAGCTTTTGGTCCAGGTGTACTTCGTCGTACACGCACAAACACACTTTGATACATTCACTCTATGGTAAATACTATGCGTGGCTAATGTGCACAACTGTGTCTGGCTATTCACACCACCAAACGTGATTTCCATCCGTTAGCAAAACAATTATAAAGAACACAATGGAAAAAAAAACTGAACTTTTCAATAATTTAACTGTGATATTATTCTACAATAAACTTGAATTTCAAGTTAGTATGGTCATTGTCCTGATGCTAATATCGATCGTCTCTGTACTTCGGTTTCGATTTTGTTAGGGGTACACGCGTTGCATCGCTTGCGGTCTTTATAAAGCGAAATTTTTGCGCAGTTAAGATCAGTTTCATTTCGATTATCAAGCCTTCAACGTCAGCACAGAACATACGGATTGTGTCATCGTGACAGGATCGCTCAGATCCTCGCGTTGGATGGGCGTTTACATTCGATCGGTGTTCGCGAATGAGCTTATCCCATCCGCGCTAACAACGGGATTACACAAGCCGTGTTTAAAATTACAACACCGAAAGTCAGATTGACAGTAATTGCATATAAATAGAAAATAATTTAAATCGGAACGAATAGTTTAGTCAAAACATTGTTTTTGAACCACAATCCAAATCAAATTCGCCGAAAAAAATTAAATACTCAACATGAAGGAACAATATTTAATAATCTACATGTGTTCTAATGTGCTTATTGCGTGAAAACTTTGTTTCAAGGATCGTCGTTCAGCTTTATGAAAACATTGTGAGAATATATATAAATCTAACAACATATATTTACATTTACAGGTGAGAGTATAAAATTGTATTGCAATATTTATTAAACGCAAAATGCAATACCGCGTATAAGATGAATGGTTTCCTAACTAAACTTACTAAATATGAGCTTCTACTATAATAATGCACTATTAAATTTGTGAAGTAGGAAGCATTGAGACACGGTAACCAAAATAATTTTTTTTCTATGCCACTTTATACGTGGTATTGCATTTTGCGGATACGTGGTATTGCACGCCACGCGACGATATATTTTATTATTTCCTACACATCGTACCTTTGCCGCAAGAGAGTCAAAATCCAAAAAATCAAAAACTCGAGAAAAACGTATTAAAAGTTCAAAGTTTACAAACGCTCCCACGGTGAAAATGAACGCATATGTACTTATGTATATGTAAATATGAAATTTTTGCACAACATTAAAGAAGAGGAGGCCGTTATTTCTGCATTCTTAACTAAAATTTGCATTTCTTATTTTTTCACTATGACACTCTTGCGGCAAATGTGCGATATGTATGTATATTACGGTGGTCCAAAAATGCATGTGAAAGGTAAAGGCGGAATTTTAACGCTCTCATTCCCTAGGAATGTTCTATACCGAAACAATTATACCCCTGTTTTTTATTTAGAAATCAAAAAATATTTAGAGGTTGCTCAGAGCGTACAAAGTTTCCCATGTATTTTATGAGGGGAAAAAACAAGCATTCGTAGAAATAGTATAAAATTCTTGAAAACCAATATTTTTCAATCGGTAAACTTTGTTTTTCTTAAGAAGATTGCTAATAGCAATACCCAACCTCTAAATATTTTTCGATTTCAAAATTTAAAAATTAAAAATTTTAAAATCAAAAAAGAGTGCATTAAAATTCCGACTTCACTTTTTTTGGGACTTCCTTAATGTACATACATTACATCAAATGCCCCTGGCAAGATGTGTTACTTTATTTTATACGTTGTGTTGTGTAGTTGTTAAATAATGTAGGTATTAGCATCTTTCGGTTATTTGTTCATCTGGTATTTTTGTTGCAAACTAAATTAAAAAATTTAACCATATAAGCAGACAACCCGATATCTAGGCAAGGTGGTATGAAATTCTTTTGTGTTTCTTTACAAAATGATCATAACATTTTAAGTACATAATAAGAAGGATTTAAAAAGTCCTTTTATTGAATACTCGATTTGATAAGGACGAGTAGGTACATATGTATGTATTCTCTTCTTTATATAACAGTATGTAAATCATATATACTTCAAACTTCATTTATGTATGTGGCACTTTAACCGAATGGCTTATATTTGAAAATAACACAGCGTGAATGAAGCCATTTTCTGTTACACCGTTTTTGAATATCGAGCTGAAATTATCACTAGGTGTATACTTTCAAATTATTTTTCACCGAATTCACAAAAAGGAGGAGGTTATCAGTTCGTTTTTTTTTATGCATGTTACCGCAGAACTTTGAACAACGTTAACCAATGTCGATGATTCTTTTTTAATCGGAAAGGTGAGACCTCAGGGGTGGTCCCATACTAATTTTGTTTAAATCCGATAATTGGATCGTGAAGAAACTAACGATAATCATAAATTTGTATATGAGAATTGAAGTCGGTTTTGTTTTTTGCTTAAAAGATACTTGTTTATTTATTTATTTTCGAGATTTATTTTATTAATATTGGTGACAAAAATATTAGAGCATGGCTTAACCCGTATTAGTCCATTGAACCCCGTATGAACATTGATGGCAAAGTTTAAAATTTAGCACGCACATTTTTTATCGGTTGGGTTGTTACTTCTGACATAGATTCTAGTACACATTTTGTATATGGACGATTCCGGCGAAAAGTCTACAACGTAAAAAAAATAAAGTCTTATATCTAACTTATTTATACGCCGATTCAGCTGTTTTATATAATATATATAGCTCAGTTACGCATACTTTGCACTGCTACATCATGTTTACGTAAAAATTAAAAGCCAACAGACTTCTACATGTGAAGTGCCATGCGTTGGGTAATCGCTTACACGCAAAGCTCTTTTAACAGATTCCTTATGTGACAACTCTCATGCAACGCCAAGTACGCATAGCTGAGCTAATACTGGTTATGTATTTGCCAAAAAATGGTCTCGTTAGGTGGCGCCAGGTTCGAGATATTTTGAAAACCCGTATTGATGCTCGGATTTGTTTCACATTTGACATGTTTAGTTGAAACGTAGTAAGATATAGATTTGCAAAAAATTGAACCGCTGGTGGCGCTGATGTCAAAATAAAAAGTATGTTCGACATAAAATACATGTTTTCTTCTCGTTAAAAATTCTTTCAAGAACAATATTAACAAAACTTGTTCAATGGAAATTTTAGTAACGTATCGCCAGGTAACGTCACGTCAGATACTACCTCAGCTTATTAAACATAAAGCAGAAAATATTTCCACATTTAAAAACTTGGAACCTTGGAATTAACCTTAAACATTTCCAATATTACTACAAAAACTTTTATACAAATAGCCTAGTCCAATTCGCAAAGTTTTGCAATTTTGTAACCCACTCCTGTTTTTTGTAACGTCACGCCAGCGCGTATGTTTATTAATATCTTTAAATCGCTAGTAGAGGTGTCAAACTATCGAGTTTTGATAGTTTTCAGAAAAACTATCAATATTCACGATAGTCTCAAAAAAACAAAACTATCGATAGCGCTATCGACAACGCTAAATCAGTTAGGTTTCTTTGTTTTTACAGGATCATAGTGAAATAAATATTATCTCATAAAAGTTATATTCATTCAAAATTAAGTAACTGCTTAGCCAAAATACTTCTCTTTTTAGAAAGTTCAAAAACAAGCACAAGTTATACAAACCAAACAGGATTTACGAATAACACATGTATGTATGTTGGCCTAAATGCGTGCATATTTGAATATGACGTCGGCATCACACTAAAAAACAAAATTTTTAATTCAAATTAAAAAATTCAGGTATTACCAACAATAGTTCGATAGTCCTACTAAACTATCGATATTTTTGATAGTATAAAAAAAAAATATCATTGAGTGTTGATAGTCTAAAAAAATTTAAACTATCGATACTATCGATAGTTTGACAACTCTAATCGCTACTACCAACAGTTGTAATGTTTTTACTGAATAAGGGGACATTTAATTGATATGCAAATCTAGAAAAACCTTTTAAAATTTTGCCTTTTTTAATTTTTTTTAACAGCTTGTCATGCGAGCGTCACGTAACGCCAGATTAGAAATAACCATACGCCTATTTTCTTTAATATACACATGAATGCATATCTATTACCCTGCCTAGCTTTGTTTTCTCTATGTGTGTATGCATGTACTATGTACTGGGGTGATGGACTCGGTTTTCCAAACCAGTTTTTTCCAAAATTTTTTACCATTTTTTGAAATTGTGATTTTTTGAATATCGAATAAACCGGAGTTTTGCTATCGAATAAATCGGGTTTTTCATCTATATATTTATATAACTGCATCTTTAAATTAAGTATATTTTTTATTTTGTTGAAACAGCAAACATAGCTTGTTTACCAATCTTGCTCTTAAATACAGTTAACTTCCCTTCGCAAATTCTTTTGGTATACGTATGCTTTTCATATCGGAAGAAATCAATACGCTTTTAACCATTCGCTTTTAAAACATACGCTTTAATACTAAATTTAGTAGAAATGCGCTTATCAAAAACATATGCAGATTTACCATATGAGTTTTTTCTTGGTTTCGATTTCTTTTTTATTCTTCAAACAAATTCGATAAAACTTAGTCAAACAAAGCTTTGTTAATCAAAAATGCAGTCTAAATTAGTTCTTCGTAAGAACACATTTCTGAGGCACTGCATCCATAAGCGACCACATCTGATTCCAGTGGAGATTCGATTCACAAAATGATTTAAGACAAGTAATTTTTAAGCAAAAAACATAACCGGCAAAAAATATAAGATCACGATCGAATAATCGGGACCACCTGTGAGGTAACACCTTTCCTTTAAAAAAAGAATTATAGGAATCGATTAACGTGATCCAAAGTTATGCGGTAACATACATAAAAAAATATTCCGACGAATTGATAACCTTCTCCTTTTTTTGAGGTCGGTTAAAAAAGTTTTTAAAAACTGAAGATATTTCAGAAAACAATTGCCTGAAATATGTATTTTATAAAATATTTATAAAAAGCAAGGTTAAGATTTTTAACTACTAAAAAAATCAGTTGATTCTAAAACTTTGAAATATTTATTACAACCAATGTTTCTTTACTAAATATTAATCCAAATACGAATAACTTTGAACTTATTCCATTTAATTGTTTTTTAAATGAAAGCTGGCGGCCGCTGTGGTGTAGTGGTTAGAAATTTCGCAAGGCCTGGGTTGAAGCCCGATTTCCGACCAACATCAAAATATCAAGAGCAAACAAGATTTTTTAACTGCGTTCGCACTTCAGCAGGCAATGCCAAACCTACGAGTGTTTTTCTGCCATGAAAAACAGCTTCTCATAAAACTAAAATCGCCGTTCGGAGTCTGCATAAAGAAACTGTAGGTCCCTCTTTGTGTGTGACAAAATCAAGGCCCACGGCACAAATCGGAGGAGAAGCTCGGCCAAATACTATCATATGTTTAAGCGCCAATCTATTATCATTATTAAATGAAAGCTATACATATTTTATGTAAATAGTTTTTCCCCATTTTAGGATTTGATTTCTGACAAACTACACGTTATCCAAATCCAAAAAATTAAATCCAAATATCCGGTCTAACCGTTTTTTCTGAATTCAAAATTTGAGAACCGATTTTTTCAAATTTCCTGTTTTCGAATAATTCTAAACCCGGTTTTAGAAAAAAGTCGAAAATTAATTTAAAAAAAAACTTTTTTTCCTAAAATAAGTTAAATATTTAATTAAGCAAAAAAATCATTTATTCCATTATTTTATTTTTTTCTTTAATGTTATGAGCTATACCTACTAAATTAGCTAACTTTGTACATCGACATAAATATACTTTTCTCATGTTAAATTCAGTATTTCATCAACAGGTTAGCAAACATTTGTTGATATATAGCCAACATTTTTAACTATATATATAAATGTGAATGTCTGAACCCCGGGAAGGTTATAGGTATAGAGAAAAATGGGCAGTACTGGAAAAGAGGGCGCGGCACCTATACTAACTAAAATTTTCATGTTGTATATCTCTTGAAATATTTGTTCTTGTGCATTGGAACTTGCTGTCGAGATAAATAAAACTAATTCCGTACTCATGGCNCGGCACCTATACTAACTAAAATTTTCATGTTGTATATCTCTTGAAATATTTGTTCTTGTGCATTGGAACTTGCTGTCGAGATAAATAAAACTAATTCCGTACTCATGGCAAAATATGGGCGGCATTGGAAAAGGGGGCGTGGCACCTCCCATAGGCGTGAATTATTTAACCAGCTCTAACTTCGGAAGCGTAGTCACATGAACTTGAAATTTGGTATGCAAACATATCTATGGTAAATGCTTATCTTAAGGCATATATAAATGAGTTTGTAAAATGGGGCGTGGCAGATAACATAGTCGTGGAATTTTTAGTCAGACATAACTTTGGAACCATAAGTCACATGAACTTGAAATGTTGTATGCAGACATATCTATGGTAGAAGCTTATAGTAAGGTATATTTTCAAATGAGACTGTGAAAGGGGGCGGCAAATCCCAAAGGCGTGGAATATTTTACCAGTTATAACTTCGGAACCATAAGTCACATAAACATGGCATTTGGTATGCAGACATATCTATGGTAGGTGCTTATAGTAAGTTATATATAAATGAGTTTTTAAAAGGGGGCGTAGCACTTAACATAGGCTTAGAATTTTTTATCAGCCATAACTTCGGAACCACAAGTCACATGACCCCTTTAATTTCTTCTGACGTGGGGTGAAACCCGCGGGTAAATCCTAGTTATTAATAATTTCAAATTTCTAATAAAGATCTTATCAGAATATAAAGAAAAAGAAAAACTTAAGTAAAGTACAGCACTCGAGTCTATATATGAAACAGAACGTACATACATACGTGGCATCCGTATGTTTTCTTGGGGTCCACTGGACCCCGTGAGACCATTACGCTATTTTTTGACGCTATTACTGACGTTATTGTGAAGTGATAAAAATAATACTCTCACACCGCACTTATTTCAGTGTGAATTTTTGACTTTCCACTTCACTTCACGATAACGCAGAACGGGAATTGACCCCTTGGCCATTACGGTATAAGTGCTCAAAAATAAAAATAAAGTACTTAAGACTTCGTGAGAAATAAAACGCTTGGGTGAAATTTCCTAATGGGCATTGACGCCAGGTTAATATGAGACTGGCTAAAGTGAGTTTTTTTTCCTTTTAGTTGTTTAAATAAATGTTTAAATTTGGCATACCTAATAACAGATTTTATGGAAATTACCTATTTTTCTGCTAAAGAGATAGAGTATATTCGATTAAGAATGTACACATTTGATGTTGCCTTTTTTAAGATATTTGTCTTTTTGCCTTTTCTACCTTTAACTGTAAAGGGCAATTAAAAAACCCTTATTCCTGATAATATGAAAGTTTTAAACGTTTCATATTTAAATTAGACGCCGCTTGTATCAACTCACTTTGAGCGCACGTTTAGTACATTCAAGGCTTTTATTCGCGAAAATACTACAATTATAGAGATTCAAGTTTTGTGAGTTAAAAACTCGAAAGCAGAAAATATATTCAACGTAAAAATTTTTCAGATAATGAAACTAGTTCAGAGCTTTTCTCTTTTTATTTGTAAAATAAAAATCTCTAAAATAAATGTATTTTTTGACTAATTTTCGGTTTTTGTCTTTTTCTAATGCCTTGTTTTGCTTTTTTTGCCTTTTCTAGTGGCTTTTCCTGCTTATTTCGCTGTTTTTCTTTTGCCTTTTCAGGACTGTGTCGTTATTTTATTTTGCCTTTTTTATAGGCTTTTAGGTCCATAAAAAATTTCCCCTGCTAATAAATTTTTGGCCGCCATATTTCGCGCTCAGAACGTCAGATAGAGTATACAAACCTTGGGACTCGATAAAATGCCTATTGTGGTATTGCTATTGATTATTACTTCATTCTTATGTAGATGACCAAATAGACTAACGTCCATTTTATGTTTACTATTGCAGATATCATTTAATCTCGCCCATGAGCAACTCTCTAAAAATTCAATTACTTAAAGGACCCATCTATGGAAAAAAATTAAGACTCACCAAAAATCGGATATGAAGAAATCTCACCAAAACTATTCCAACAATCAAACTCAATAGTCTCATAAATGAGTGACAATCTTGAGTTACATTTGCCTCTAAAAGACTCATTTGCCATTGCAGCGAAAAACGTTCATCTATATAAACAATGGCGTGCTGTCGGAGAAATGTAAAGGAGTATTGGCGGAGGAGCAGCTAAAAGATTAAGAAAGATAAACCATCCCTTCAACTTACAACTATAACAACAAAGATAACTACTACGAAAAGCTAATTTCCCCAGCTAAGCACTCGCAGCAGGAGAAAGATAAGAGCATCACCCCTGCTTAACATATACATACATACCTCTTCCACCCCATTCTTAAATACAAGGCCACGTACATATGTATGTATGTGTGCGTGCCACACGCGGAGGGATTCATTCATCAACATCTGAAGCATCATTCATACATAAATTCGCTCCTGCCTCTCTTATGAATGAGCTGACGGGTTTTGCACACAGAAGCACTTTCGATATTCAACGCTTAGATTTTGGGCAATTTTGGCTGTGACGAACTAAATATCAGTAATTGATTTTCGGCAAATTTTAGGTAAAATTCGCATAATATGTATGTATATAAATTCAATAACCAAAAGGAAAACAGAACAGAAATTAGAAAGGGTCGAGGTGAGCTAGTGAAATAATTAGTAGGTACATAATTAAGTGCAAAACATTTTGAACACAATCAAATATTGAAGCTTATCCCAAATTTTATTTGTTTTTAAGCAATTAGATATATAAGTGTACACACAAACATACATACCTAAAATTGTACACATCCGCAATAAATACAACTTCAAAAAAATTTTCTACTAAGTGGAAGTAACAAAATTGGCAAAGTAAATATCTTCAACTACATCCGAGAAGCTGCCATGGACTACGAAATTGATATTTACCAAAATCAACTTGCAATAGTTACAATTTCGACAAAATTAACTATTTCGTCGCACTTAATGCGTTTTTCAAAAGCACTAATATTCTGAAATTTTCTGTGGTTATTCTAACCACTCCTTAGAGTATAACTTTCTCCATCGATGTCAACAGCACCACCCAATACATTTATTTTTAATAAAAATGGCAGCCGTTTCTTGGATGTCATTGAAGAATCCGATAGGCCGGTATTCTGAACAAGAATTAAAATCGCTGAATAATGCGTTATTTTTGGAAAATTTCTTTTAGGAATTTGCTCACCTAGAAGTAATCATATCCGATGGCGCTCGAAATTTTTAATTTTATGGATTATGATCTTCGAAAACGAAGCAAAGTGTTAAAAGAAATTTTAGTAGAATGCTAAAAAATTTAGTACACTCTTCTATCTAAGGAAGCTTGAAATTATCCGAAGAATATAAAATAAATACCAAAAGAACCTTTTGAATTTCTTCTACCCACGTAAATCCGGCAGGGTTTAAAAAAATCATAAATTAATTATACATAGTACATCTAAAACTTTTATGTTACTAAATATGACAATTAAACATCAAATTGTTTTTTATATCCGCATTTTAAATTTTCTATTGCATGCATCCTTTTTATTGCAACTTAAAAATTCCATTTGCGAGCTACGTATGACAAATTTGTATTTCTTTTACTTCAAGCATAACAAATTAAATGTTACATATGTACATACATATGTACATGCATCTTATCGTTGATGAAATGTCGAATGGTTCTAGCCATATATGTAATACTCCTATATTGGCAGTAAGAGCTAGTACCGTCCGAAAACCCTACAGTACAGATATATCTATCAATAAACACGTACGAAAGAAAAGGAACACATACGTTTATAAATAAACATGTACACGACACATTTACAAAAACGGCACTCAGGTACACAATACATTGACAAAAACAGTACTAGACTGTCTCGCTTTGATTTCGGAATGCTTACACATTGAGATGTTAGCTTACTACCAATATAGAAGTATTACATATCGTCCCGTTTCTGCCTTAACCTCGTATCTGCAATAGAGGTATTTTAGAGAGTGTTAGAAAAAATGTTTAATTTCTTCCCTTAGAATACAATAAACCCATTTTTTACTTAATATTTCGGGTTCCACTAACAGTAGTAAGCACCCTCATTAAGTCTCTGTTCTATTTTGAAATAGTGTGACGCTTAAACAGCTGTTATAAATGGTAATATTAGTTTTCCCAAAAATTGTAGATACGTGGTTAAGGCAGAAACGGGACGATATATGGTTCTAGCTAACATTTTTTTTATCACTTTTTTTTAATTTTCTGCTTCTCCTGCAAGAAAATGGAATTCGTCAGAAAAAATAATTAAAGTTCGGTGTTGAAAGTGAAAACTACATACACATGTATGTAAGTACATACATTATTATTATTTACATGTATCCAAAGAAGTGCACTTTCTTTCCCGATTAAATGAAGCTTTTAGGTATTTTTTTTTTTTTTGTTAATTAGAACAATTTTGCAATCAGAACATCTTACATCCAAAACATTAATTTTCACTCTTAACTGCCGTTTGCTAGAATCAAATTTGTATGATTTTTAAAAGAAATTTTGACATGGGGCGCGTTTCTAAGACGCAACTGTTTACCTCAACTGTTGCTGAAATGCTGTCAAGTGTTGAGTTCAACAGTTACGTCATAGAAACGGGATGTTACATTAACTGCCAAAACATTTGTAAACAAGCAAAATTAAATAAAACAGCACAAAAATAAAAAAAATATGAAGCCAAAAATATGGATAGCACAGGATTTATAATTGAGTTTTTCTTATTTTATTTTTAATATATGTATTTGTACGTGCATTTTATTTTATTAACAGCCAGCTTCGCCAGCAATTTACAGACAAATTATTTTTTTATTTGGGTTTTCTATGAAAATTGACTGAAGGGAAACATCATTTTTGACTTATATAACGTAGCGAAATAATTTTATGATGGAAAAAATGGCGTAAGGTTGCCAACCGTTGAGCTGAGCGGAACTACTCAACTGAGCGTTTCTGAAACAAACACTCAACAGTATAGCAACAGCTACGTCTTAGAAACGCGCTCAGGGATAACAAAATTCAAAATTTAAGGTCTTTACTTAGGGCATCCCTGCATTTAAAAAAAAAGTGTATACTAAATATGGTAAATGTTTAACAGAATCCTACGGTAAACAGAGTATATGTATTTCGAGTAAATTTTTGCATTATATTCAAACACTTACTGCATAGGTATGTACATATGCACAAACATACATGCATACTACGTACATATGTATGTATGTACATATTTGTATTACATTTGGTTAATACCCATCTTGCTTTCGTTTCTACCAAAAAATGCTGCCTCTTGATTGCCCCTTTCTCTTTTCGTGTTCGATTGTAAAATATGTAAAAGCAAACCGGTGAGAAAATTTTGTGTTCGTTTCTTACAATGGCACACTCTATTAAGGCAACAGGCAAATTTTCTGTCCTTGAAGCGTTGTGGGGAGAGATTGATGCACTGGAAATGAGATGTTTGCTTGAAACGAAAATATTATGCAATGCGTGAGCTAGACAAGGATAAGTAGGTAAAAGCATACACTTTTACAGAGTTGAGTGCAACATCATTTTTTGAAAGAAACGAAAACACCATTAGTTAATGGATTTCAAAATGTTAAATTGCCCAAATTACTTAACATTTTTAACAAATAAATATTTATTTCAACAATTTCCGGTAGTAAAATTTTGTAAACGCTTTTATTAGTTATGTATTTTTTGCTTGGATAATGAAAAAACGAATGCTAAGTTCTAAAATATTTGGAATCTCTGTTAAAATAAAAAATCGTTAAACAAAAAACCTAGATTTAAAGGTAAAAAATTTATTTTCCATTTCGACTTTTATAGAATTTTTAAAGATTTGTATGCATAAATGTATCTACTTGGTTGGTAGTTAAATTTTATAATCAAAGTTTTCTTTTGATAAATCTTAAAAAAGTAAGCTTTTGTAATAATTTGTTCAATTAATTAACGTAGTATATTTTATCTTAAAATATATATTAAAAATTTCTCCAAACGAGCGAAAGGAAAAAATATTTGGAATACGAAATGTCCACGAACAAAAAAAAAACAAACTATTGAAAACCATCTTAAGAAACCCGAATTTAAACCCTTTTACAAAAGTTTATTCATGGAATTGTTTTTATACCACTCAAAAAAAAACAAAGATCTTTTGTAAGAAATTTTTTATGCATTTATTTTTAGATCACTCAAAATTCATCGATGAGATCTACCGTTAAAATTATCGAAAACTCTGTTTGGCACATATCTTTTTGAGACATAATACAACAAATATTATGAAGGAGCAACGCCAAAATTCAAAAAAAAAACTCTAAATAATTTTATGTATCTTAAGCTCTTCAAATTTTATCATGGAATCAAAACTTACCATACATACGTAATCAAAATTTTACCAAAATTAAAACAGTTCTATAATCTGTAAATACAATGTAAATTCCAAAAAAAAAGCCAAATTATGATACTCAATTAAACGTTGTGCTCTCTTGCACACGACCATAGCGGAATTAAACATGGACAATAAGCATTCATGGTGGTCCATAAAACACTGCTCTGGCTCTAAAGTAACTAATTTTTTATATATGTATGTGTGTATAATCATACATTCATATACATAAGTAGCAGCATAAATTATTCTGTGCAAAGAACGGAAGTCGTTATGCGGCAAACGCAAGAAATTTCCAATCCTGGCTGTGGCTACCGACAAAGCTCATTTCGTCTCCCCGGAAAGACCAATAAAAAATACATTTTGGCAAGCAACACAGCGCAGAAAACCCAAGACAAACCCATCTTACAAACGACAGAGCAAAAAATATTACACTTAAAGCAAATCTCTAAAAAAAATTCAATTCAATTCAAGCAGCCGACTTTTCTATACTGTAAAAAACAACAAGTGGGTTGCGAATGCGGCACTCCACTTACTAAACCCGTTGTGGGCGGTGAGAAAGTGTAATTGCAGCAGCGCTGTTAGGACGCGTACACACAGCAATGCCAATCAATAACACAGGCCTAGCAAACTGCCATCCATCATAACAAGTGTATTTATGTGCATACATAGATACATACATATGTAACTAACGTCGTTCATTCCAATGCTTTTGACGATGGCACATCAAAAATCTTAAGTGATTTTTCCAAATAAGAATTATCGAACCGAGTTGAAAAACTTATTCATGGCAAATTCAAATGCATGCGGGCAACTTTCATATCAGTAAATCTCATAACCTTATTATTTTACTTTTCAAGGAAACTAGCAAAAAGTGTATCATTTCATTACATTCGGTTGACAGAATGTTCAAAATAAGAGATGAAGCGATGAAATTCAAATCAAAATCAACTTCTGAATTAGATTCAAAGGGAAAACTATAACTTTATCCCTTTTCCATCGTTGATCGGCATACCCACCCTAAATGCTATGCGAATACCTATGACGAGCCTTTAAATTGTGGTAAAATTTCTTGAAGAAGATTTGAAAGTCTGGATTAATATACGGTCATATGTTTTGCTGCAAGCATACCCTCACACATATTATGGTATATTTATGGATATGTACCTACGTGAGCACAAGTCAATAAAGCAACGAAAAATATCAACATCAAAAACAAATTGAACCTAGGCAATTCCATAGCGATAGAATCCAACGTGCGGTTGTGGCCAACGACCTAGCTGAAAACATATATACATACCTCTATACATATTGTATATGTATATATGTATGTGCACCTCTTAACAAATAAACAAATCGAAACAAGCAACGCACGCAACAGATTCACATCAGCTACGTCATGCAAGCAGCCATACTCAGCCTTAACCACATACATACATATGTATAAACTATGTATGTACTCGCATGTAGATCCGTGCATCCCCACTTACATATGTATGTACATATCTGTGAACAACATTGACAGGATCGAAAGTACTATCGAGCAACGCTCCAACAACAACAAAATGCCGTCTTTGACATTTTAAGCAACAGAAGCGCTACAGTATTTAAACTTTGCATCATAAATTTATGAACCAGCAGCAGTCGACGTAATTGCTATCAATAAAATATAAACCCAAAAAAACGGCCAGACCCACACTATGGCCATGCGCAGTTCCGAGCCTGCCAACCTTTTTGCACACCACTATCATGAAAGTATTCAAGACAACCAAACCACCCCAATCACCGCCAACCGTACCATTTGGCCAAGCTAATGCCACGGTGCCTGGGTTAAGGCGGTCGCTGCAAATGAAATTACAACATTTCTATTGAACATGGCAGACCATATCTAACGAAAGAAAAGCCAAGACCGCGGCAATCACAAAAGGATACTCGTACAAAGGTAAAATTCTCAAGAATAATAGTAAATCCTTTGGCACACTTGTATGAAGTTATCTGCAATCATGCTGGCAAGTATTTATATAAAAAATTTGAATCGACGAGTACTAGCGCAACTTTTTCGGTATCGCATGGCTTTTAAACGTTTTTTTTTTTAAATC